CCCCAAAACCCCAAAACCCCAAAACCCCAAAACCCCATATGAATTAAAAATAATAGAAATTTTCCAAAAAAATTATGAAACCAACCTCAAAGCAGATTAATCATCAATTTCTTCCTGCTAATGCTTCTTCTCACTTTCCTGAACTCAATCGGTCAACTGGTAAACTCTTAATTATTTTTAGAACCAAAGAGATACTTTGTTCAACATAAACGGAGGATGCTCTCCACAAATAGGATAAGAAAAACAAATAAATACGTAAACAGCTTTTATAATGACCATAAAAGTATCTGCCCACCTCATATTTTAGGTAAATAAGGGAAGTGAGCTGCTAACCAACATAAAAATGCTAAAAGCTGGGTTAAAATAAGCATAAATTCAACCTCAATGTTCCTAATTCAAAACTAAATATCACAGAAGCCAATATGGGAGAATACCATTCTCATTTCCCTAAGAATCTAAGAGAGAGTCTAAGAGTACACCAAATCTCATCCTGTAGAAACCTAGTATTGGTTTGAACATCACTTCTCCACATGAGATCTCAAAGGCATCATTACACCTCCCAAATACAACTAGGAAATAAGTCAATGATCACAACAGGAATGCAAAAGCTCAAAGAAATGTCAAGCCAAATGGGTAACCCATCAGACTATTTATAGACACTGGTGTTAACCAAATGTCCCAGTTCAGAAGAAAAAGTGTCAGGACTCGAAGAAAACGCAGGATTATTAGGTAACCAAGGAAATTACTATTTAGAGTACAATCGGAAATTCAACCAGCAGATAAGAGTCAACACAGTGGTGAGATATAAGGTCTATACCTCTCTAGAACGTAGAACTGAGAGTAAGATGAAAAAGAGTAAGATCAAAAGATTTAAGAATAATGAGTCAATGAAGAGCAGACTAAGGAAAAGTCCATTTAAAATCATAAAACGAAGACTCTATTCTGCAAAATCCAGAAGATCAAGATCTTTAAAAAGTATTTTTGTGTTTAATAGATAGGAAAGCAAAAATATTTTACTTTAGCTTCTACAAAGTATAAGTGATACAAAGATTCATTATCAAGAAATAACAGTGTTGCAAGTCTAAAATCTGCTATGGCTCACTCACAATATTCTCAAAAAGTTCTCAACTCAAAATCTCATAAAAAGCACGAAACAGAGAAACATGGTGCGGAAAAATCAACTATTAATTTTGTTGAAAATTCCGACCCAGAGATGGTCCAAATACTAGATATTCTCAACAAGCATTCTGTTGGACCGAAATTGATCAAAGCTATGAACAAATACCTGAAAGCTAAGAAAATTCTTCATAGTGAAGAAGAAAGAATAGAGTTTATCCATCAAATAGCAGAAGCTCAGATGGATCAGCTGATCAATATGCAGCGTAGCTCTGCTTATGAACTCAAATTTGCAACAGAGCATAACTTTTCTGATGAAATATGCTTGGCTCTTTCCAAAATTCATGATTTTAATCAATTACAAAACTCTCAGGAATACATAAATCAAAGAGAGGCAATTTCAAAATAAGGAAAACAAATTTTATTCGCTGGCTCAAAAGGCATTAAAAATATTTGAAACTCCAAAGCCAAAGGACAAAGTTACATTTCTCGACCAATATCCTCTCTCACTTGATTTCTCAAGGATTCAGAGCAAGGCTTTTGATCAAATCAGGCAAGAATCTGAAGATAGCCCTCATACAAATGTGAGTAAAGTAAAATCTCTGAAAAAGACATTCAGAAGGAAATCTCTGGCAAATAAAGTAGGAAGTCCTACTGTTACATGAAATATTAACATCTCAAATACACACAAAACTATGGAAATTAATGGAGTTTTATGAATGATTCAGATGAACTTCCTCAATGGAAAAATCAATGTCACTGCCTCCACAACAATCGGAGATGATTCTCAATGAGTCTATAAAATATCACACAAGCCGTTCCATTCAAATTTTACCAACAACGATATCAGCACAGAGATGGAAAGACTCTACTTTGACATCTGTAAAGGAAAAATAGTTCTGTCTGCTTATGACAATGAAGAGTTTAAATCCCAACAAGAAGTCGCAAATAAATTTAGCATCTATGTAATCAAGCTGAAAGGAATGCTCACTGTAGAAAATAATATTAAGAAGAATAAATATTGCCGCATCTCTGTTGAAGATATGGGGGATAGATACATTTTCACGCTACTCCCAGAAAGGAAGATATCCCAGAGTGTTGAAATTAATTCAATGCAATCAGGATTTGCTACTGGAAAAAGCTCTTCTTACTCTTCGATAGCTTTGAAAATAATTGACAATTTAAAGCAATGCTCCATAGAGAAATTAAAAATTCTTGAGTACTGATCTGAAGATTCTCTTGAGAATGTTAATATGAAGACATTTCTGGAAAACAATCTAGTCGCCACAGATTACTCAAGTAATTTTATCATTTAATCTGTAGAATCAGAAGATCTCTTGAAGACCGCTCAGCTAGGTATAGTCCCAAAAGATATGAATTTGCTTAAAAAGCTGAATGATTCTGACAGAAATAATGGTCTGCTAAAATTATTTTCAACTGAAAATACACAGAATGAATACAACAATTTTGAAATAATGATCAGAGAAGAGGCTATTACCAAGCACCAAAAAGTAATCGAAAGTAAGAATGCTTTCTTCATATTTTTAATTAGTCATTATAGAAGAAATAGATAGAATCAATGAGATCCATGGTAAGAAGAGCATCCCTGAAATGATTCCAGAAGAAATTGAAGTAGATTTAAGGTATTTTTAAATAATTTAACTTTAGTGAATGACCTCAGAAGTTCTTAAGGCTAGAAAATTTTAAAACTTTGAATCAAAGTTTAATCCAAAGTATTTTTTATCTCTAAGCAATAGATCTTTCAATCCCAAATAAAGAGGACACAAAAGAAGGCTACATGTACACCAGCCGGATCATCCAACAAGAGTACTCTCCCTCCTAACCCTCCCTTCTAGCTACAAATCCCGCACCAAAACCCTCCCTTAACACCTAAATCCCACCTTCAACACTCACTTTACTCCCCGGGGTTTTGGGGTTTTGGGGTTTTGGGGTTTTGGGG